AGACATACTTTGAACAAATGACAGACCTTTATACTGACCCTTAGACACAATCTGATTACTAAAATCTGACATGGCTAGGCGTGGATAATTTTAATTCTGGTCACCTTCTGCTTCACTTCAAAACAAACTGACCATGTGACTCCTCTTAGTTGAAAAAAAAAAAAAAAACATTTCCCCAAGTTGCTGTTCTGTCATGACTTTCAGATTAACCATATATGTATGTGTAACACATTGAAGTAATCAGCCATTTTTTGTTTGTTTAACCGCTTATAAATCAATAAATGTAGCCTTTGGCATATACTGTAGAATATTTTATTTTCGCTTGAAATTTATTTTCGCTGAAGGACTGCTTCAGTGAAAATTAAATCCAGCGAATATACTTTTTTTCTATGTCTCACATTCAACTCATCAAAAATCAGTTAAAATAAATTCCATACAAAACACCCAAAAAGCTTTTTCAGCGAAAATTAATTCCAGCTAAAATAAAGTATTTCACAGTAGGTAGCAAAAACCTTGTGACCTTTATAATGAGCATTTTTGGTAATCCCCAAGCACACTAATAAAATGAATCTGGTGAGGAGTTAATATTTGTTTCCATGATTTCCTCAATTACAGTTACTGAGTTTGCATAGTCGCACCATAATTCTGCCAACAGTGCGAAGACCTTCACAAGGTGTTCTGGCTAGAAAAAGTTACGACAGCGTGAATTCTGCCTGGTAATTAAAAACATAAGGATCTCATATTCTCGCGTTCCCACCAGCAGTTCTTATAAGAGGCGTAAATAATGCGGCCACTTGGTAAGGCATTTAATAACAATGACTTGAAATAGCATGGTAGGCAATGTTTCGGTTTCCGATACCATATTTGATTCCATTTACGCTGACATAACGTGTTCTCATCTGTTTTTGTGACAGCGTTACTATTACGAAATACTAGTAGTTAGACTTGTGCTGTTATACCCACTAACCTATGCTATTTTTAAACCCCCTTTACTTTCGTAAAAAATGTTCACATCTTACGGCGCAAGATACAGAAACAAAAAAAAACATAAAAACTATGGACGTCTTACAGTCCAGCAACAAGTTAATC